TTTTTTTAATTTCTAATTCTCTTAATTTTAGTCGAGTTTTCTCAATCATTTCTGGTTCGTATCACATTTCGCTGCGGACTCGCCCACAAGTTTCATCCAGTAAATCAATCGCTTTGTCCGGCAAATAGGTAGTAGTGAGATAACGTTGAGAAAAGTTGACGGTAGCTAGCAAGGCGTCGTCATAAATCTTCAATTCGTAATAAATTTCAAAATAATTGCGAATACCTTGTAAAATCCTTAATGTGTTCTCATGGCTTGGCTCAGTGACTAATATGTTGCTAAAACGACGCACTAAGGCCCCATCTTTTTCGATATACTGGTGATATTCTTCTTGGGTGGTGGTTCCGATGCACTGGATTTCACCCCGAGAAAGCAGCGGTTTGAGAAGATTAGAAATATCCAAAGCACCCTGGCTACGACCAGCACCCACAATTAAATGAATTTCATCAATAAAAAGGATAGCATTATTTTCTGGCTGGGCCATGAAATTGAAAATTATTTTTAATCTTTCTTCTAATTCTCCTTGAAATTTGGTTCCAGCCATTAAGGACATCATATCTAATTGATAGACAGTCTTACCACGTAAATAGTCGGGTACTCTCTCTTGCTTGATTCTTTGGACCAAACCTTCAACTAAAGCGGTTTTTCCTACTCCCGGATAGCCAATCAGTAAGGGATTATTTTTCATCATGCGCGACAAGATATAAATTAATTGTTTAATTTCTCTCTCCCGACCAATTACGGCTAATTCATTGACCTTGGTCTCCTTATTAAGATTTTTGGTAAATCGTTCAATAATTTCTTTTTCTTTATTCATATTTTTAGGATAATAATTGCTTCGGTCGGAACAGTGTGTTTTTTAGTCAGAAAAATAGGATTAAACCGCTTGCCCTTTTTTTTTACTGATTATTACTTTGGCAGGTCGGAGAACTTGGTCAGCCAACAAATATCCTTTGCCCACCACTTTAACAACCGTCCCGGCCGGTAAATTATCATTTTCTATCTCCTCTACTAGTTCGTGGAGACGGCTGCTTCATTTATCCTGGCCAACCACAATTTTTATCTCAGCAATTCCTTCGTTTTCCAAATTTTTTCACAAGATATTCCGCAACATTTCAATTCCTAGCAAATGGGTTTTAACCGAACTTTCCGGGTCAGCGCGCATGGCCGAGAGGGCTTTTTCCTCTAAATCAACCAGAAAAGCCAGCACTCAACTAAGTAATTTTTTATTACTATACTTGTATACTTGTTCCATTTGGCGTTGTCAATTTTGCCGTTCATTTTTCAATTCGGCCGCCAATTCTAATTTGTCTTTTTTTAAATTGTCAATCTCGGCGGTCAATTTTTTTAATTCTGGGTTTTCATTTTCCCCAGAGGCGTTTTTTTTTGGCTCTGAGGAGACGGGGGCTTTCGTATCGGTTTTTTTTTGGGTCGGTTTTGGATTTAACTTCTTTTTGTTTCAATGATTCTTTTTCGGATTTTTTATTCATATAGCATATAAATTAATTTTCGTATCAAACCCCAAATAGTGCTATGAAAGATTACCATTTGATCGAATTTTTCCTTGCAGTTCGGTTTTTTCATAACTATTTTTTTGGTTTACCTTTTCCCTAGCTTTTTTTAGTTTAGGAGTCAGAAACTTATTTAATAATGATAAAATATGGTCACTAAAATCTCCTTTTTTTAAGTCGATAAGAGC